TCATGTTTTGATGGTGCCCTGGTCATTTTGTGATGGTGTCCCGGTTATGTGATGATGGTGTCCAAGGAAGAGATGGTCGATGTGTTGAAAACAGGAGCTGTTTCCAGATTTTTCTTTTTGTCCCCGTTTGTATTTTGCTATTGGGGTCTCCAGCTGGGCTAATTCTTATAGGAAACTTCCGCCGCGGGCTTGCCCGGGAACTACTTGTATTCAATGTAGGTGAAAGCCTGCCAGGCTTGCGCGCGTGAGTAGGCAGGTGGAGCGGCGCTGCAGGTAAGTGGGGACCTGCGTCCAAGTATCAGCGCAGCCCACGCTTGAATTTGTGGAAGTGCTCGGAGAGAAGAGATCGCGACCCAAGCAGAATCAGAAAAGACACGAGGCAGACCCAGAGAGTCATCAGAGATTCAGCACAACGGCCGCGCCGTGGTCTGCTACATTACTCACAAGAGGGATAGCAATGACGAAGGTGGATCCCGCTGAGGCCGATGTCAACTCCGCATGGCAATGCAGCCAATGTGGAAGCAAAGGTGCCTGCGGAAGTAGCAGACAGTTGTGGCGTATCGTCAAGGAATGCCTTAATTTGGAGGAGAAAGCGAGCGAAAACGACAGCTCACTCAATGCTTCGCAGACGGAGAAATTGTTTTGAATCCACATGGTACAAGAGCATGCAGAACTGCGCGAAGAAGCAGTGCAGGTCCACCAGGCAAAGAAGACAGGTTGGGGGAATATCCATGGAAGAAGGAGTGACAGACCAGCGGCTACCAGCTTCAGGAGATGCTGCAGAACAGTTTCGATATCAGCATGACGGAGTGGGTTGAGTATGAGCGGTGCTTGAGTGGCCATCAAGATCTCAAAGGGTCAGCCTGTTTTGAGAAGACTCGCGGCCACGTGACACCATGACACGAAGCGCATCTGGCGCAATCCAACCGTCCAACGCGAGCAAGGCAAGCCTTGTGTGGCGCTCGCCTTCGTCCACGTGTTCATTGGCCGCCGCTGCCAGCCTTCTCTGGTCGTGCTCCTCCTGTTGGCGTTGTCCGGTCACAGCTTTGTCCTATTTTTTGTTCTCTTGGTGTGTTCATGTTGTTCTCCTTCTCTCATCCTTTTGCTCTTTGTTGTCTTCCTCGGGTCCTCCTCTCATCTTTTGTGTTGTCCTGCTGCTGTCGCACATTGCTGGCGACCAGCGCCCTGAAGCGGTGCTTGCCCAACGTGGCAAAGCGTGGAAGATCGGAACCGCGATAATTTTTACTTGCAGCGCAGAAGGCTGTGAAGGGGCGTGTAGTAACGCCAGAAGAAGTCTTTAGATTTTGTTGCCGTGGACTGACGCAAACCCGTAGAAAACGCGTGTGTCGCGCAAATCCACCTGCCACTGGACCAACGTTATCAGGGTCAAAGGTGAGCGCCGGCCAAAACCGTGCCTAGTCAAGAGAAAATACCTTGAGTGTGGCGCGTGAATCCGGTGGTCAGGCCACACTTTGGCTGCATACATGGACTATTTTGGGTGCGCCTTATGATGAAGCCGTTACCGTGTGCTCTTGATCGACGCGCAGACCCCACTATCGTAAAAATGGCCAGATCACGATTTTGCGTTGTACGCCCGCCCGCAACAGGCTGTGGGGCCAGGCGTTGCAATTGAGACGGTGCGCGCAGGCCGCCTTCTTGGTAGTAGAGCATGAACTGAATGGGTGAGCTGGGAAGATTCTCGATGCTTTTCGTGCGCGCTATAAAGCTTTCGAAGATGATGAACGAACTCAACTACTTCATGAGTTGTCACGTCAGAAAGAAAAGGAGCAAATTGATAGCTTGGTGATCGCCCAACAAAAGCCAAGCACTTTATAGTGATCATGTCTCCCAGAAACTTTGAAGTGGGCCAACAGTTGCCACTGTAAGGCAACAAACTGGCCCCGGCAGAGGGAAGCGATGATCCCTCACCGCCAAGGCCTCGGAAGCCGGGCCGTTTTGAAAGGAGCCTATGCGCTGAGGATTGCCAACCCTTTGAGCGTGCCTGGATGCACGCAGCTGGCGCTGGCCTCAACCCCGGCCCGAGCCAGGCAAAGTCCACGCCTTCTTTATGCTAACATAGTGGCAAGGGCAAATACCTGGTGCGTGCGCCTCATATTTTTTTCCAACGCCAAGATGCGACAAGAAATCTTGCACGCTCTGCGCACGCTCTCCAAGAGTTGCAAGCGTCTTCGACGGTTCTTGGGTGCCTTGGTTGTTGCCTTGTCACCTCTTGTTGCACCAGGTGGAAGGTGAGAACGGGATCTTTATTGAAAGTAAGGTTACGGGCAAGTATTCCGCTGCTTCAGGCTTCCAAACTCAAGATTCTGTAGCGGAATGCGCCAAGCACGAACTTGGATGTTTCTGCGAGCGCATGTAATTCCTGGTAAAGGTGCAAGTATGGCGCTGAAACATGGTTCAAGTCATCCTCTAGTCAAAGGCATGCTCAAGCTACGAAAGAAGACGCGTTGCACATTTAGGCTTGGGAAGAACAATTTCACTATTTAGGTTGCTGCCTTGCAAGCCTTCGTGAGAGTGTGGGGAAGGTTTCAAGCGTGGTGGGGGAACTTGCATGTACAAGTGTCTGAGCAGCAAAAAACGGTTTGTTTGCAGCAAAAATAATATGTTGGGGCGACTTGCGTGGTATATATACATCATATAAATACTTAGTTGTCCCAGAGCTTAGCGCAATGTCATGCTTCCTTTGTGGAGTCGCCAAAGGCCAGGCATTGCATGCTGCGTCACAGCAGACGTTGCTTTACTCGCGCCGCGTCGCCTCGCATTGCCTTGCGCTGCACCTTTTGTGCGTCTCTGTTCGTCAGGTCATGCAGCTGTCGCGATCGCAGCTGCGCAGGTGGGGGGCGCGCAGTGGCGACGTGAATTTGCGAACGTCCAGATCTGGTGAAACTGCCTTACAAAACCATGTTCCGTTTGCGTGGCAGGATTGAAGAAACAGTTCATTTTTATTCCGCCCAGCAGTCTAGTGTTGGAGTTTTTAATGTGTTTAAGTGCGTCGGCCTGCTCTGTCCGGCTCGCTCTGCTGACCCGGTGTGAATGTTTGCACATGGCATCACCTTGAGAGCCTTCCAGTCCAGGTTTTCCGGAAGAGCGCAGTTTGTCAGGCATTCCAGTCAAGGGTTGTGTCTGGGCCATGTCCTTTGTGCAGCGCCGGCGCTGTTGAGGGGAG